CTGCTCTTTTATCGAGAAAGTGGAAACAAACAAAACAGATGTTTCTTGACATTACAGATGGCTACATACCAATCAAAGGCCATTATTGCAAGGATAAAAGCCTTGGCTGAACCAAAATAATGCAAAAAATACATTTGAATGAAGCTACTGAATAAATTAAATACTACCAGCTTGGAACCAATACCTAGCAACAATTTTTGTACGGTAGTAGTGCTGAATAATATATCACATATAACCAGGTTTAAGATGACACAATACTGTTACGGGTGTGCACGTAGATGAACCCAAACACAGACGGTGTACAATGAACTCAGGGTTTATTGGGACAAAACAGGAAAACAAAACCCACGAGGGGGCAAAACAGATGAAACAAGGGATATAAGACTAGACTAGATAATGACTGAACAAGAAACAAACAAAACTTTGTATAATACTAACAATGACTACTAACTACTAACTAGACTTTCCACAGAATACTCACAGGTAACATTTGGCAATGAACCGACACAAGACAGCAAACACAAGGGGATTAAAAAAGGAGACTAATCAAGACATAACAGGTGACACGGGTAAAGCAATAATGACTGAATCAGGATAACAAGGGGGCGGGTTAAAGAGACGAGACAACACAAGCACATGACCAAAACACAAGGCCATGTGCTTGCACACAGAACATGGGTCTGTCATGATCCTGCCGCAATACTAAGAGAATCATGGACATGATGGCAGAATCATGACAGAACCCCCTCCTTAAGGAGCGGCTACCAGACGCTCCCCAAGGAGACATCAAACACGGGACAAGACTGACTGGGACATAGACAAGACCCAACAAAACATAACAAATAATAACAAGGGCATACAAGAGTAAACAATGACAGGGTTCGGGTGGAACATCAAAAATAATAAACAAGGAAGGGGAGGCGGAGGGACAACAAAGTCTTTGAGCGAGGGTCCAGGGTGGGTAGGCGGGACGGTGATCTTGGGACTACGGGGTCTGGGCTTAGGACGGGGGGTCCGAACGGACTTGGGTGGAGTGGTGTGGGTAGAGGGAGAAACAGTCCTGGGTTGAGCCATGACGGGGGAAACAAAACGGGAGTCCGGGGGCAGTGGAGACAGCAGCAGCGGGAGACGAAACGGAGACACGGGAACTGACAGGGGAAGAGGAAGCAGGAACGGGAACAGAGATACTTGAAGAGTCAAGGCTTCCCCAAGAAGAGGTGAGACTCATCACTTCCGACTCTGGAGAGGCGTTGACTGTTGCGCTCTCGGCGGCTGGCGTGGGTGCTGCGCTCTCGGCGACAGGCGTGGGTGCTGCGCTCTCGGCGACAGGCGTGGGTGCTGCGCTCTCGGCGACAGGCGTGGGAACAAGTTTACCGCTGCAGAATCTGGAGCCGCGCCCTCAGCGACCGATTCAGGAACGGTACCTTCAGCTGTAGCGGGCTCTGGGATCGTGCCAGCAGCAACGGGCTCTGGGACAGTGCTTACAGACACAGGGGACGAAAACAGACCAGAGGCTCCCCTCCTCCTCTTCTTCGGTCGGGGAGCAGACGCAATAGCTGGACTCATGGCTGGTTGGGGAAGCTCCACAGGGACCGTAACTAGCCCAAGAAGGGCAGCCTCAGACTGCGCTGACTCTGTAGCGGAGGACTCCGAAGCGGACTCCCACGAGGCGTGTCTTCCCCCTTTGCTGCAGAGACTGGTGGGCGGAGATGATGCCTCAGGGACTGAAGCGGCATGGGCCTGGTCCCCAAGGGTGACCACAGCTAGTACACGACCCTCCGGGATCACGGGCAGCTTGGCGGATGATGAGCTCGTGGGTGTCTGTGACTCTCTCCGAGACAAGCAATCCACCAAATCAGTTAACGGATAGGTCACCATCTCCTCCCGTTCAGCCAGGGGTGGAAGAGAGTTGAGACCTGCAACGAGGTAGCAGTTTAGGAGGAACTCCGGGATGAAAAACCCCCTCTCGTTCGCAACCCGGGCATGCTCCCTTATCGATAGCCGTCCCTGAGCGGGAATCGGGAGTTTGCCTCTCCTCGAGTCAGCGATGGTCTTGAACCACCAATCCTTAAGTTCATCAGAGTCATGCTTGACAAGGGAGGACATACCGTCTGCTGGGTTCGATGTTGGTCGGTTCATTCTGTTACGGGTGTGCACGGAGATGAACCCAAACGCAGACGTGTACAATAAACTCAGGGTTTATTGGGACAAAACAGGAAAACAAAACCCACGAGGGGGCAAAACAGACGAAACAAGGGATATAAGACTGGCAAGACTAGACTAGATAATGACTGAACAAGAAACAAACAACACTTTGTATAATACTAACAATGACTACTAACTACGACTTTCAATGACAAGACTTTCCACAGAATACTCACAGGTAACATTTGGCAATGAACCGAAACAAGACAGCAAACACAAGGGGATTAAAAAAGGAGACTAATCAAGACATAACAGGTGACACGGCTAAAGCAATAATGACTGAATCAGGATAACAAGGGGGCGGGTTAAAGAGACGAGACAACACAAGCACATGACCAAAACACAAGGCCATGTGCTTGCACACAGAACATGGGTCTGTCATGATCCTGCCGCAATACTAAGAGAATCATGGACATGATGGCAGAATCATGACAAATACATAAGTTTATGAAGGCATTTTTCTAAATCAAAAATTACTAGAAATATTCCATTCCTCACTAAGATACACACATAGACAAAAAAACAGCAGAGCAGACACTGTGCCATAGTATTCTGTTTGAAGCCCAGGAAAACCAACAATGAAAAATTCCTTTACAAAGCTGATGTTTCCGACTGACATGACGACCTGATGGCTGGATGTAAAATTAGATTAAGGTACTCTGAGATGCATTTTCTTTTATGCATTGCCTCACTGCTGGTTTGGCATGGATCATATATAGCACAAATTACAACATTGGATCACAGAAACATAACAGCCAGTTAAAATATTAAATTGTATTTTATCATTTTTAAAAATACATGAAATGACAAAAAAAAATTACTCATTATAATCTAAAAAATTTTTGACTAACCCAGGACAATAGGAACTACCAGTGACATAAATGTACGCTGATTGGCGAACTCATGCAAAACACTGCCATTTAAAAACAAGCTGTGTACACACAGATTATAGCCTATATATGTATTCCATGATCTAACTCTACGTACATGGAAAACAGTGATAGATGGACCTCTCAACTTTTACACTAAGGAGAAAATCCAACACAACTTTGAGAAGACCAAGCGAAACATGATTTCTGCTCAGCTAGCATCATCAACTAGCCTGGATGCCAGCCCGAACCCCACCCACAACATTTTTTTGGTCGGGAAGTTCGGTCTGGGCTCGATCCATTGAGGAGTAATTATGATCGGTTCAGAATTAGTCGGGCCAATCAAATTGACAGGGCGGGCTTTATACGATGATGGACAGATGATCTGCAGTTACGTAATCATCGCGTTATCAAAGAGCGCTTGGGTTGAACTGGTTACCCTCAAAGATGACTGCAGCTGGAGAATTGAGATGTATAGATTCCGCTATCGCGTCTGTTGTAAAAGAAATCGACAGCGCATTAATTTTAAAATACGAACAGAAAACTGCAATCAAGGCATTTGTCGATCGGAAAGATCTGTTTGCCGTCCTTCCTATGGGATTCGGCAAAAGTTTAATTTATCAGCTGGCTCCGATGGTCGCTAAGAAGATGGGATGCAATGAAAACCCTGTGGTCGTTGTTTTTTTTCCTGGTTCGGTTAAGACACGCCTCATAATCAAAGCCCTATGGAGCAGTATCAGACTCACATTCTGACTAGAATATGAGTATGACGAAGTCAGGCTAGTCATCAACCACAAGGCTAATGAATGCTCTGAAGTGTTTATATATTGACTGATCTGAAAGGTTTGTTTGATTTTGAAAACAGGTGAAATGGTTTTGAGGCGATTGTTTGATTTTGTCAGAAGGGTAAGGGTTTTGTTAATGTAGTTTGAACACTAGGTTTTGAGTTTATTTAATGTTGTGATAAAATAGGTAAAGGTTTCAAGAAATGTGCCTTAGCACATGTGAAAAACTGTAAGACAACAAAATGTAAATCAATTGTACAAAAGTACAGCTATTGACTTGTCTTCTTTCAGAAAAGAGTGGGAAAATTATTCCACTAGGATCCGACAAATTTCACTTTTTCAACCATTATATGTTTTTTACAATTGCTAGCTTAGGACACATTTCAAAACTCTTAACACAGCGAGTGCAACATCAGTCTTTGTGGACTAAACTGTGGATCATTTATCATTGCTTTTGCACAAAATGCATTTGATGACTACATCTTTCAAATTACATGAATTAATTTCTCACCTACGTAGACAAAACCACCACCAAAACTCTATATACATCCAGGCCAATTTGAACATTTACATACTCTTTTCAAAACTGTTAAACTAACAGTAAGGTAACTTAATACAAATTTGACCAAGACACCTATTTGCTACATTTCTACGGTAATACAATTTTGAAATATATTATGAATCTAAAAAATAAAATGCTATCAAAACAATTAGATATGTGACACCTACACATGAGTTAGCCTTTCAGTTGCATTATCTATACAAAATGGGAACACTTAGGAATGTATTGTTGTCGTTAAATGTTCCATAATGGCCATTATTCAGTTCCTGACATAATTTTGAATGACCACACGATGTACAAAATTAATGTATTGACTTTTTCAGTGTAAATGCAATGAATTTGTAAGTAAACTTTATTTAAGAAAATAAAGTGGCAATAACACATAAAGTTAGATTAAGTCATGTACAAACACAGATCTTTGCTTTTGCTTTAAAATATAGTTTCAAGTTTATGTTTTACAGTAAAAGATACAGCAGTTGCGTTTCCTGGCTTCAAAAAGCAGAGCATTAAAATGTGAGCACTGGAATATAAGCAAAAGACAAAATATATCTTTCCTATGATATTTTTGTGGATAAATCCTATGTTCTTACAGTTGCTCTAGTTCAGTATGCTGCATGACATTCAAAGAATACTATTTTGTTTTTGAAGTTTTTTCTAATGTATGACTGCTGTAATAATTTATGTACACACAGTGGATACATTAACTTTTGTTGGATTAATTTGGGGATTTTTTGAAAATTTTAGCCTTTTAAGTAAGCTTTCCTTGACATCTTTTGTCCTTAAACAGTATATGAGGGGGTTGATCATGGGTGGAAACAGACTATACATCATAATAATGACTAATCGTAAATCAGTGCTGAAGTTGATACCAATATTGCCAGCCAAATAAATAAAACACCTGGGTAGAAAATAGAGAGCTATTATGATGAGCTGAGGACTGCAGGTGGAGAAAGTCTTCATTCTTCCTTGAGCGCTCGATATACGCAGAACTACCACAATGATGGTGCAATAAGAGAAAACAATGAAAGTCAGAGGACTGAGCAACACAACCATAGCAAATACAAAGGCTGGAACACTGTACAGTGCCCTGTTAGTGCATGCAAGTGATGTGATAGAAATATGATCACAGTAACAGTGCATAATGGTGTTTTCTGCACAGTAAGGCAGAGGGTATGCCCTTATTGCCATCATTAAAGAGGATGCATGTCCTTGCACCCATACAATGAGACAAAGATAGAAAATGTTCGATTTTGTGAGTATATTAGGATATCTTAGAGGATTACAGATGGCTACATACCGATCAAAGGCCATTATTGCCAGGATAAAAGCATTGACTGAACCAAAATAATGCACAAAATACATTTGAATGAAGCAACCGCCAAATGAAATACTACCAGCTTGGAACCAATACCTAGTAATAATTTTTGGTAAGGTAGTAGTGCTGAATAATATATCACTTACAACCAGGTTTAAGATGACATAATACATAGGTTTATGTAGGCATTTTTCTAAAGCAAAAATTACTAGAAATATCCCATTCCCCACTAAGATACACACATAGACAAAAAATAGCAGAGCAGCTACCGTGCCATAGTATTCTGTTTGAAGCCCAGGAAAACCAACAATGAAAAAATCCTTAACAAAGCTGATGTTTCCGGCTGACATGACGATCTGATGGCTGGATGATAAAATAGATTAAGGTACACTGAAATGCATTTTCTTTTATGCATTGTTATAATGCTGGTTTGGCATTAATCATATATAGCACAAATTACTCTATAATCTATATATATATATATATATATAATATTATACAATAATATTTGATCACAGAGTCATAACAACCAGTTAAAATATTAAATTGTATTTTATCATTTTTTAAAATACAGGAAATGACAGGAATTAGCACATTATTATCTAAAAAATATTGACTAAAGTTTTATAATAATCTGGAAAAGCATCTGATCTAACTCTGGAATACCAAGAGAATCATTTACTTACAATATACTTCTTTCTAAAAACATTTGTCTGAGTCAAAGATATTTAAGTCTAATTTTTTTCTTCCCATCAAGGCGTGACATTTTGTGGTTGGTTGATGACACTGACCGTAGACCTCCCATTTCTTATAGGCTACTAACCAGTGACCTTAGGGGTGTACTTACTTAATTATAGGGGATTTCGCACTGGAGGAACCTTTTGCTAGACCGATTGGCAGATGTACCCGCTTTTTGGCGTGTTCGCACCGCAGGAACTGGGAACGATTTTAGTTTTAGGAACGCCTTTTGGTAGAAATAAATGAGCTCTTACTTCAGAGTAGGGTCTAACCCAGGACAAGGAACTACCAGTGACATAAGTGTACACTGACTGGCGAACGCATGCAAAACACTGGCACCCACCATTTTTAAAAATGGTGTACACACACAGATTATAGCCTATATATTTAATCAACAAACTAACTCTCCGACCATGGCAAACATCGATAGATGGACTTCTCAATTTTTACACCAAGGAGAAAATAAGAGCGTTGTGTGATCTGGCTCTGGTGTTGTCATCACCGTCAAAATAAAGGTCACAACAAAATGCGCAGCTTACGGCCCTTCCGAGTTCCTACTGGTTGCGAATGCAACCAGGAAAATTGAAGTAGGTGAACAATTAGTTCTTGGGGGAACCACTCTGGTGGCTAGTTCCTATAACTAAATTCCTAGAACTGTGAGGGACAGACTTACAGTCAATGGCATACATTGGTTCTGGATCACATATTTCACAACTCAGAACTTTCAGCCCGTTCTCATCCTTTGGCGTCATACATGTGACGCTTTTATGGAGCGAATTATGTGCCAAAACCTCACACACACACAAAACGTGTTTTACTCACACCCAATGATTCACAAACAAACTCAATGTGGTTTGTAAATGCAAAACATCACTCACAAACTAATGCATATTGTTCTGCAAATAAAAAATTTACCTATCAAACAAATACATATGTTTTACATATACATAGAAACGTATTTCTTCAATGACAAAAATATCATCCAAGTACAAATTAAAATCTTTCAAGTACAAAACAAAATTATACAAGTACGAAACAAAAACCTTCATGTACAAAACAAAATTCTACAAGTACAAAACAAAAACCTTCAAGTACAAAGCAAAATTCTACGTGACAGTTTTTCATACTTGTAGAATTTTGTTTTGTACTTGTAGAATTTTGTTTTGTACTTGTAGAATTTTGCTTTGTACTTGAAGGTTTTTGTTTTGTACTTGTAGAATTTTGTTTTGTACATGAAGGTTTTTGTTTCGTACTTGTATAATTTTGTTTTGTACTTGAAAGATTTTAATTTGTACTTAGATGATATTTTTGTCATTGAAGAAATACGTGTCTATTTATATGTAAAACATACTGTATTTGTTTGATAGGTACGTTTTTTATTTGCAGAACAATATGCATTAGTTTGTGAGTGATGTTTTGTATTTACAAACCACATTGAGTTTGTTTGTGAATCATTGGGTGTGAGTAAAACACGTTTTGTCTGTGTGTGAGGTTTTGGCACATAATTCGCTCCATACGCTTTGGACATTTCGTTGAAATCTTACGCACGTGGCATCCTTTAGCATCAATATGAGACGCAGAACCCAAGGCGTCATACAGGTGACGCTCGTCTAAATCCAACGCACATGGCATCGTTTAGCGTGAATATGAGACGCAGATCCCAAGGCGTCATAACCGTACCCTACCCCAGACCTAAACCTACCCATAACAGTGCGTGTTATATTGACGCTAAAGGATGCCATGTGCGTAAGATTTCGACGAAATGTCATAAGGCGTCACCTATATGATGAGAATAACACACTATAAGAATGAGAATGCGTTGGAACTTTACAACTATTTATTAAGTTTTTGTCTACATAAAGTTTTAAGAAGATGATTCTTTAGCTGAACATTTTGGATGTTGTTAAATAGTACAATCCATTGAACGCACTGTAATTATATCCCTCAGAGCCTCGTTTTCATTCCTGTCAAAAATTAAATATGGCCCCTAGTGAAAAAGTATGCCAAAATATATTTAAAACACATTTATTTTGTACTAATTATACTAAAAATCCATGTACATATATTTACTGGCATATCGCTTGAGACTTACTGTTATAAATATTATAATTAAAATACAATCCAAATATTATGTAACTTTATTACATAATGCACATTTTTTAATATTAGCCTAAAATGTGTTTTAATATCATTATTGGTAAGTATAGTATGATCACTGTATAAGGCAGTTTTTAAATGCAAGGTATTTAACGTAAAACGCAGCAGTTCCACTTTAGTACATATCAAATATATCTTTAGTTGGACCTCAGCACTATTTCCAGATAACTAAAGTGTATTAAGAACAACATTAGTTGTTACAATTTAGTAGACTTAAGTATATCAATTAGTATACCAACAATACAATTGCAGGGTATTTATATTAAGTACATAAATATGTAAATGTATTTGTAGTATATACTTAGCATAAAGTTAATGTATTTCAAATACATTTTGGTATATTTAATTTTTCACTAGGGGCGCTACCCTGACTAAGGTCTATAATGACAAAGATACAGTTTCAAGCTTTAGTCACAGACAACAATATGGGGGCCTTTTGCAAGTGTGCTTTGCAATTCATCATTTATTACAAAAATCATACCTGTAGATGTGTCCAAGCCTCCTTACTAACTAGAAAACATCATGTTAGTACTAGCAATGATGACTTAAGCAGTTTTTGATAAGTTATTGGAATAACAAACATACTGCGCAATATCTTACGCTAGGGGAAAACCTCTTTTCCACGAGATATTGAAGCCAAAAATTATCCTTAATTTTGAATTAATGTAAAACGCGTTGCGGCAGCATGCAGACATAGGCAAGACGGCTCGCGTGCCTATTGGCTGTCTTGCGGCAACTGCAGCAGCCTATCGAGAGAGGTCCTTGGTGACGTCAGATCCGCCAGCTTCGCCAGCTTCACTCAAGTCGCTCACCGACGGACAACGGCCGCCTTCTGCCGCCGCTTCCGCCATTGATGACGACGAGATAGCTGCATCTGTAGAGGAGGCCAGCTGCTCTATCCTGGCGTAGGACAGTGCGGATTGGGCGAGCTCTGTGGACCTCCCCCCTCTGCCCACGAGTCGTCAGGGAAACGGGCCAGCATCGAATCCGAGCTGATGCGTCTGCTCTCACAGGCCGTGGCGAGCCTCGGCCTTGTGTGGGAGGTGCCCGCACAGCCTGCGCACAACCGACTGGATGGATGTTTCCTGCAAAGGGACCACGTAACTCTGTCTCAGCAGCATTCTCCATGGTGGACGGTGCTAATGACAGAGGATACCACTCTCTTCCTCCAGTAGAAGAAGCTGTAGCGGCCCATCTTTGCTGGCCAGCAAGCTAAGACAGCGCTACCTTCTAAAGCTTGCCGCACTACTTACGCTATGCACAGCCGCTGGGCAGGCTGTATCGGCATTACACTCAATGGCCGTACTGCAGATCTTCCAAGCCGACCTTCTCCGAAAACTGGATGAGGAGCGCTACGGACCTGGCTTTTCGCGCCGCGAAATCTGCTGCACAGGCCATTGGGCGGAACATTGCTTCTCTCACCATTGCTGAGACACCTATGGCCAGGGGCGAAAATTTCATCAAAATGTTGGGGGGGACAATAAACATAATTCTCAAGAGCAATTTTTGAAGGGGACACCAATAATACAGGCAAAATTGTACTTGCAAGGATATGTGTACACCGAGGAAAGCCTTACTACTATTATTAGTGTAGCATGGAGACCGTTCCATTATCCTTCTTCTCAAAGTTTCTTCCTGGTTTAATGAAAAAGCTGACTAAATTGACCAAAAAAAATCTTCAAAACCATATTTTTATATATAAACAACTTATTTACAAAAAATGTATGGTTTTGAAGAATTTTTAGCCGGGTTTTCGCCTGGAAGGCTCTATGGAAATCTAGCACCCTATTGAACGAAGTTAAACTGAGAGAGCGTGCGTTCACAGACACCAGAATGAACGTGTTCACTGTAACGTTGTTCATCAGGCAGTAATACAGCACGTCCAGTTCACGTTCACCCAAAATATGAACGAGTTCATGAACTATCGTTCAATGAACGCGTTCAGGCACAACACTAATTAAATTATATAAAGCGACTAAATCACAGTGAAAGCGTTAAAATCTAAATGCGCACCCGGACTAGTCTAATCTACAAGACTAACGTTACATCACGTAGTGTATGCGTACACTCTATGGGTGTGGGTGTGTGTGTGTGTGTGTGTGTGGGGATATACTGATATAAACAAGCTAGGTAAACGTTAAACGTTATAATCGCTAACATAGCAGACTACATCATCGACAAAAGTACATTAGTACGCAAATATATATTTGTTTTTTACATGATTTATTAATGAATCAGCATCATCTATATTAAAGAGAAAATAATCACTTCATCCGATATTTAAAGTGAATAAAATAACATTGACTTACTGGAGTTCCACAACTACTCAAAAACATAGTTCATCTCTCCCGCCACCGGAATGTGTGTGTGTCGGTGCTCGGTGGTGAGGTAAAAGGGGCGGAGGCAGTGGACCAAAGCACTGTGAGGCAAGGGAGGGGGGACTCAAAATGTTTAAAATGTTTT